TCCTCAGTTATAATAATGATGGCCCCATTTTTTTTTAATTAATAAGTTAGTGAGACCATCTTTAAAATGCTGACAATGTCATTTAAAGTCATAATTTTTTTGAAGACATTTTATTAATATTATTAATTGTACTTAAGCAGCAGTCATAACTTCTGATAGTCAGGCGTGTTTCCTCCATCCACTATATATATATATATATATATACAGTATCTATTCTATATTGTCTTTAAAACACCCTGCAATATGTTGAATGCAAAAACAGATGGAAACATGTCTCACCGCCTGTCATATGATTTATAGGCAGGTAATTTAGAGGTGTTTGTATTTGCACTGCTGGAACATTAGTTAGGATGTAATTCCTCTCCACTTTAGGGCAAGGCAACATGACACATTCTTGGCTTTTAGACCACTGGGTTGATTCAGGTAAAGCTTTGCCTCAAGCTTTTTTTGAAGCTGGAACAGAACGTTTCTCATAACTGAGAAGGGAACAGATTTGTGAGGTGTAACTATTTGTATTTCAATTCGACAACATGACATATTCCCAAAATCAAAACAAGATGTAGCGTTGACATCTTGATGTAACAACAACTCACAAGGCCAGCTGAGCACAATTTCAAACAGAAAAGATGACAAATGAAGTACATGAAAGACTGAACTGGTTATTTAGAAGGCGTCTGGATTTTTCAGTGAGATTACACAAATATGATGAAGACAAATTGCTAACGTAATCAAATCCAATGGGATTACTAAAACAGAAACAAGGTGCTGATATTAAATCATTTTCAGAACACTAAGAACAGTACTTTTTAGAATAGTATTTTAATGGCTACTAATTGCCAAAGACAATCAAAAACAGTAACTGAAACTAACTATTTCCTCAAGATTTTACAACCATTTCCAAAATATTCGTAAATGCAACAAATAATAATTTACTTTAAGAGCAACCTTGACACCTTTGAGCTGCCACCTTGACCTTGTGTCTCCCTCTGAGTGATGGCGAGACAGCCGCCTACTGTCTTCACGTACTGCTGGAGGGACGCCTCCATTGACTGTTTACTGCCCTGAGCTTGTTAGAGGGGGTCTAGTGGCCCACCCAGGAGAGAGAGACGGAGAGGAGATTGGTTGCTTCTGGAGAACGTCGGTTCACTTCTCTGATGTAGTTAAACCATTAATATACGGGTGTATACTTTTTTAAAATCCTGTTACTTAGGTTTTATGGACTGCGATAGAAATTACATTTAGAAAACGGAGCAACATTGTTATTCATTTGGAATTGTGTTTGTCCAACTCCAATATTCACTCTCTTTTAGCTCTGTTTTTGGTCTCCACCAACTCCTGAGGGAAATATCTGGCTCTTTAGCTGCTAGATGCTCAGCTATGTTCACCAGCTATAGTCACTTATACCAGTCAAAGACAGCTAGTCACCTATACCCGTCAAAGACTGAGTCAGGACCACAAGTATAGGTCACAGGAGATTTAATTGCTCGACAATTAAATTTGCTGAATTTCTTCCAGTGTTTTATTTAAAATGTATATCTGCAGTTCACCTTTATGCCACATGAGGGAGTGTTAATGTTCATATTGTTGAAATAATTGTATCTAATATGAAAGGCTAGCGTAGTTTGTTTTACTGAAAGCTACATAGTCGCTGAGTCGCCGTTGAAGTGTTAATCAAGCGCTCGCGTAGAGATGCCGTTAAATAACACAGAGAACTCGCAAACAGCATTTTTTTATAAAACTGAAAAGGGTGAAACAAAAACATGTGATTGGTTGACGCTTCACCGCGTCATTGGAGCACATAAAAACAAAAACAAAAAGTTGAAACCAGCTAAACTTGATTTTTGGCGGGTCACGCATGTCACACGGTGACTCGCTCAATAAATGCTCACTCTGACTCTTCAGTGTTCGCACAGAAAGACACGTGTAGATGCTCTTCACCCAAACCAATAATGTTATTTTGATCCAATGTTAGACACAACAAGCTCAAGTTGTACCATAAAACTGTCACAAATTGAGTTAGTTGTACAAAACGATGTGCACGACACTCAAACATATAATCGGCATTCAGGAACAGTAGCAAGTTTTAAAAAAGCTTTATTATAACAGTTTTCAACCATAATATTCAAATTGAGTCAAAACTACCTATTGTATTGGGTGGTTTTCTTCCCATGGGTACTGTGTGTAGGTGAACCCGGTTTTGACTAAAAGTTTCACCCACTTACTATAGCTGTCCTTTTGCTGCCCAGGAAACTGATGTGAGAGGGCAGCGAGCCACTTATGAAAGAGATAAAGATTAAAAGAGAGAAGAGAAGATGCAAGTAGAAACTGGAGAGAAGAGACAGTACGCGAGAAAGAGTGTGAGAGGAGGAGAGAGTGGAAGAGATAAAAAAAAAGATACGAACAGAGGAATAAAAGGAAAGCGAGGAGCTTACGCGGTGAAAAGAGCACATTAGGGGCGACCTGCTGCGACAGTAGTGTGGGGGAACGGTGAATAACTGCCTCCACTTAGACCAGTGTCCTGGTGGTGTGAAGCCAGGGGCCTCAGATGGACTTACACTCAAAAAAAAAAAGAAAACACACCAGAAAAACATAAATAAAGCTAAAGAAACTCATTCAACGGGATGTATTCCTGCACAAACTGATACCTGTCGCACACATGTTCACATACCTCCTCTGTGAACTCTCCTCTGCCCCTCTCATTCACACATTTCTCCACATTGGCCGGATTAGGAACACTTTCTCTTGGGTGTGCGAGGCTGCCCCGCACACAAAGAAACACTTGGGGACAGGATTAGTAGGCTTACAGCGGATTCACATATGTTCAGTTCAAGCAATTGGTATTCAAAGCTTTACACTTTCAAATGCCACCAAGAGAGAGCAAAGCCGACCAGCGCTTTTCTTTGCATTGGCAGCACCTTTATGAGAAGGGCTCTTTTGCTGGGCCAACAATGAGGCCGTGAATACACATTTTTACTGTTCTACCAGGGGGATCTCATTGGCGAAGTATGGAGCAGAGAGCAGAGTTTGAGACAGACTTTATTATCCGAGTTTGAAGTGCTGTGTGTGTGTGTGCGTGCGTGTGTGTGCAGACGGATGGATGGAAGGATAGACAGATGGATGGATGGAGGGATGCTGAGGTGCTGGTCAGAGGAAGAGTGCTTCAGTTACTTCCACATGTTATTGTTTGGTGGCCCGTTCCTCCACTCCACCTCCACAAAACAGATCTGGAGGAGACTCTTCAGAGTGGAGAGAGCGCTCTCAGCAGCTCAATATGGACAATACTGACTCAATTTAATGTATTCTCCCAATATTTGAACACAAAAGCGCCTTCTGAGATCTGTCTGTTTCCTTGATGAATCAATAAAATGAGTTTTATGATCGATAAATGTTCTAAATTGGTTTGTTGCATTGTGAAAATGCAGGGTGACTGATTTCAATTTATTCTGTGACAGTTTCTCATGTTTAATACATAAAATGTGTCCTTATTTTGTATTTTTAGATTGTTTTTATGAGTGTGAATGAAGGGTTTGTATTTAGCCCAAATTTCCCCTTGAGGGTCAAGTAAAGTATCTTTAAATCCTTGAAATTATATGACTATTGTGAGACGTTTTTTTTTCTCCATATTTTGAGTGTCATCTACATTTTAAAATAATTAGTGTGGAATTGTTTAGGCTAGCCTATATTTAATCCTTATAGGGATACAATTTAAGTTATAGGCTGACATATAAAATATGAATAATAATGAATAAATTAAATGAAGGATGAACTTTCTGTAAGACATGAAGCGATGAGAAGTCGTATGAAGGACCAGACATGAGGCCCACATGCTGCCATATGGCCAGCAGAGTGCCGATTGTCGGAGCGGGCATGTTACCTCTGTCCCAGCGGAGGCCGCGCACCCCTGCGGCCGCAGGAGCCGCTGAATGGGAAAGCAATTTCCCTTCCCATTCCTCCCCATTCCCTCAGGCAACCAGCGGCCGAACCGACACTTTAATTTAAGATCCGACTGTCCGACAAACACTCAAAGTGAGCACTGTGTGAGAGACTGGAAGTTGTTTTTAACAGATCACAGTCTCTCCTCCTCCTCCTCATAGTGCAGTTCATTAACAATTTCATGTGAAAATCTTTGAAATGATAATAAAAAAAAACATATTGCCCGAGGTTATAACAATGATTTTGTGCGTAAAATTCACATTACGCAGCTCGAAAAAAATCTCAGCAGACAAGGCAGTCCGAAACCAATGTAGTGCTTCACTTTTTAAATATAAAGTGTACAGGAGGCTCTCCAAACAACATGTATAAGTTTTACAAAAAAATGGTATAAAAGAAGCAATTTTCAAAACTGACCAGTTTGTCCCAGGAAGAGCAACTTGCTGTTCCACGAGAGGAGAGGAGATAAGAAAGAGAAGATGAGGAGAAAAAAAGAAGAGAAGAAGAAGAGGCTCACTGTGCCCCCCAACGGTGTCCTGACAATGGCAGTGAATGGTTGCGCACCGCGGTCACTAGGACAGTCAAAGCACACCGCCCCCTTTCTAACGGGCACGTCATCCTCCTAACTAGGCATTATGAATAGGAAAGCTGCTTTTGTTTCCCCGCGTGTATAAATAGCCTCTATTAGTGTCCTCTTCACCGCAGCAGAGACACACAGAGACACACAGAGAGCGAGAGAGCGAGAGAGAGAGAGAGAGAGAGAGAGAGAGAGAGAGAGAGAGAGAGAGAGAGAGAGGGAGAGAGAGAGAAAAAAAAGAGAGCAAGTCGGCAGAGGCAAAGTGGACACCGATGTGATAAGAGGGACAGAAGCGTGGGACAGGAGGGATACAGACAACATCAGGTGACCAGAGCGACTGAAGGCTCCAGAAAGAGAGAGGGAGTAAAAAGAGAGAGAGAGAGAAGAAGTGAGAGAGAGAGAGGGAGTAAGAGAGAGAGAGAGGGAGGAAGAGAGAGAGGGAGGAAGCCAGCAGCGACCTCCTACCCAACAACCTCGGAAGCGAACCCATAAAATGAATTCAGACTCCAGCCCGAGCAGCAGAGCCTCTTCCCCGGACATGGACGTTATGTCTCTCAGAGACCACCATCCGCACCACCATCATCACCACGTTGGCTCCTCCGTTTCCTCATCTACGCAGAGCGCAGAGCTGCGCCAGAAGCTGAGCGCCAGCGATCTCTTGAGGTCTGGAGACCCCAAGTCAGTAGGAAGCAGCAGCAGTAGCAGCAGCAGCAGCAGCAGCAGCAGAGACAAGTTCAAACTTAAGAAACAAGTCACCGAGGAGGAAATGTACCACCTCCGTCTCAAGATTAACGGCCGGGAGCGGAAGCGCATGCACGACCTCAACCTGGCCATGGACGGCTTGCGCGAGGTGATGCCCTACGCGCACGGGCCCTCGGTGCGGAAGTTGTCTAAGATCGCCACGCTCCTTCTCGCCAGGAACTACATTCTGATGCTCAACAGCTCCTTGGACGAGATGAAGCGGCTGGTGGGGGACATTTACGGAGGGCACAACTCAGCTTTCCACTGCGGCACCGTGGCACACGCCGCGGGTGCAGGTGGACACCCCGGGGGCCCCGCCGCTGCAGCCGCCGCCGCCGCCGCCGCCGCGCACCAGGTGCACCCGGTGCACCCTCTCCTCGCGAGCGGTCTGACAACTTCCACGTCCTCCACGCTGCCGGGGCTCACGTCAATCCGAGCACCCCACGCCCTGATGAAGGGCACCCCGGTTGGGCCCCAGCCCATGCAGCTGGGCCCCGGCTTCCCGCATTGGGCCGGACTGCCGTGTCCCTGCCCCATCTGCCAGATGCCCCCTCCTCCACACATCCCCATCAGCACTGCCGGCCTCACGAGACTCACAGTGGACGGCAAGGACCTGATGAAATGATGGTCTGACAGACACGCGGAGACTGAGAGATGTAACGATGTTTGTAAATAGAGAATTCAGGGCATGAGGGTGGAGTTGGCATCACTTGTGCATGTTGTTGTTTAGTCTGTTTTCTTGTTGGGCGTATGAGAAAAAAACCCGTTATTTTCCTCCTTGTAACAAGGACTTACAAAGACTGATGAATTTTCCAATTGAAGGTAAAAAGAAAAAGTTGTGCGTCATGCAACAAGATGACACGATCCTCTCGTGTCTGACTGCGTTTTAGTTTCACGCCACAATGTGAAAGGTGAAGGAGGCTGCATGGACATGTTGATTTCATTTGACCTTTTTCTGTATCAGGCGTTATTTTGTGAAAACGAAGAATGCTCTCCGTGCCTTGTACCAAGGATTTTAAACTTGAGTTGTAAATGAAAATAATGACATTCATGTGTTTGGCTAAAATGACTGCCACCGCGGAAATTTGTTTTAAAATTCTTTAGATTTATTTTTATTTCGTGGCTTACTGTATGTCAATTTGTTGTTTTATTTCTTCTCTTTTTTTGCATGATGGTGTAATTATCACAGCATGATTGTTTTTGCTGAACTGAATTTGTTATGCCCAGAGACCCTGTGTCTTTATTTTTGTACATTGTTGATGATTGATGAAATATTTATTATCACCCAGCGACCCTGGATGAAATTTCAATAAAACTGAAATTATGGATCATATCTCACTGTCTTCTCCTCTTTTTTTTATATGTCACTCTTAAACACTCACTAACAATATTTGTCCTATCGATAATTTACATTTCCGGAAGTCTAGTACAGGTACATTTTAACTTATTCATTTACTTATTTTTAAGCACATTGATAGCTCAAAGCCTCAAAACATATTTTTACTTTCAAATAAAAAACGTTTATCCCAAATAAATTCAGTTGTAAAAACAATTGAACATATTTTTGTGACATTTCAAACTACAGCAAGGCCTCTGTTGAAAAAAGTAACGATGCGTTAACTTTCACAAACTCTACAGTTCTACTGAACGTTAAGTGAAATAAACGAAGATAAATATATTTAGCAGAATACAGTATCATTTTACAAGAAATCGGTCAAATATGTTGATTATCGACAAAATATGAAAAAGGAAAACTACAAGTGAGTGGACGAAATTTACCCTTGTTTTTACCCTTTAAATTACTTTAACCAAAATATATTTTTTCCTGGCTATAAATGAAATAGCAGAACTTTAGGGATGTTTGTCTGTCTATTAAAATTAATATTTTGGACACAGCTCGGAAAGCCCGAAAGCTATACAGGTTGATTCCCTGCAACCACAAGACACTTTAAAACAAAAATCTGATATGTCAACTTGTAATTGTATTTCTCCTCTGTGCACAAAAACACCAGCTGATGAGTTAAAACACGGTCATGGTCGGGCTGCATTTATTTAACATTTCCGAGCAGCTAGAGCAAATGCTGAAGAGAGGGGAAATGAGGATGAAATGAGGGGACTTGGCTGCATCCTAATGGAGCCCAGTTGAATTGTTCCATGTAGCAGCTAGAAAGTGATCCGCCTCGGGGAGCGCAGAGCAGTTTGTCCGCCGGGTCCCTTGGGTGTTTCACCGTCTCATCTCTGCAGCGACAGAATGTATGTTTGTGGAGATTACAAGTTAATTGTTCATGGGGGACCGAGAGGAGAAAATCACATCACAGAAAGGCGTCGGGATTACAGGCTACTAAATGCAAGAAGATTATACATTCAGACCCCCTCCTCGGCCTCGGCGCATGCAAATGAGTGTGTGTGGATGAAAAAAAAAGAAATAAAGAAAGAGAGAAAAAGAAAAGGAGACGATGAAGCCCTTTTGTAACTTATTTTGGAGGGAAGAAAACACAAGTTCTGTGGCTAAGTTGAGAAAGAGTGAAAGAGTTCATTTTACACTTCTTCGTTTTTGTCTTTAGGAATGAGTAGAGCCTGTCTGTCCCTCGCGGGCTGCCAGATGGGATGTAAATAGCTGGGTAGCTGCAATGGCCTTTTAACCACACAACACTGAGGAGGATGTTGTCAAGGGAAGCTGGCGGTTTGCGAGTTAATAGTCATGAGTTGGGGTAATTACTTAAGGTTTATTATGCTCTGATTTCAAAGGAAATGGACTCCTCAATGGGCCGAGGAATACTTCTTAATTCTGGCTAATTAGGAGCTGAGCAAAGCAGGGACAACTGCTGCTGCTGCCATAAAGCACTGTTACATTCATGGAGGGGGATCATTTGTAAGTAAACCACAACATAACGCACAAAACACTCATGCACATGCAAATAACACGCACAAGACAAATGTAAATCACTGTCTTCTCTGTTTTCATTCTGGGGGGGAAATCTTGCAGTTTGGTTGATGACCATATGGTAACAGGAGTATTTATTGCTACTGGCTTGCACTCTGAAATTTAAGATTTTTCTACTGTAATTAAGCTAAAAGCCTACGACTAAATTAACAAGTAATCAAACTCTTGCTAACAATGATCGAATTATGGCTTTTTATCTGCCACTGTGTTTATCATAATGACGGGGATTATCTTCCAGGCAGGGTTCACAGAAAGTATACTCATTAGTCTCTTATTTACTTCTACCTATAATCCCACTGAGACTCAGATTATTCCTTTTCAAAAGGGATGCCAAGCAAAGACAGAAAGTTGATCATAATGTTGTTGATCATAACAACATAACAAATGAAACCAAGTACAAAACAGCCTCTATTTCCTTTAGTCTGTGAGAAATAGCTATTCAATGCAGGGATATGTTGTTGTTTCACAGGTATTTGAGGTATTTTATTACCAGTGGCAGTTTAACAGAAGAAGCATTTTTAGCACGTATTTGGCACTTCTAGATTTTTCTCTGTCTTTTTCTTTCCACTTATTTTGCATCAAAACCTCAAAGATGGGTCACGAGTGAATACATGAATAAATAAGCCAAAATAAATGAGTTGAGTTAACTTTATTACAACGCCTGCCTTGGTGAGCACATTGTGCAAAAACACAACACAGCATACTGATAACAAAACCATCACAGGCAGAAGAACATATTGTAGTACATTGAAAACAGTCTATTAAACTGTTCAGATTTAAAACAGAACTGTCTATACTCCATTTATGAATAATACTGCCTGTGTTTTGGTTTTCAGGCCGGTCAGCGATGACTGAATGGACTCGTGGTCATCAGCTCCTCTTTTCAAGAGGCTTGACAAACGACCGGCCCTTTTACAGAGCACACACCTGTTAGCCACTCGGGGTTCATCACTTAGAGCAACACTGCTTTGTGCAGCCTCTACACACACACACACACACACACACACGCACACACTAACAGGCCTTTGGACACAGACACTAACAAGGCGTCTGCCTAGCTCGGTGTCCTTATGACTGAGCTGCCTTTTCCCAAATCTGACTTCAAAACCTGAAATCTGTGAAGTTGTTTTAATTAAAACACACTGATATGTTTGCCAGCTCTATCGCACATTACAAAGCTGCAAACATAAGACTTTTAGTCAGATATGCACAAACAGTAGGGGCATTTCACGCTTTTATAACGATGAGTTTGTACAAACATCTCATTTGGCAATCGTCGACTGTTGCTGCGTTCAATGTGAAGAGTCCTGCCTGAAGTGTGTAGCTGTGAACATGCTGGTTTGTTTATTTGCCCGGTCAACGTTGCGTCAGCAGGGCCGGAGCCCGAGGGCAACAATTGAAAATAAATTTCAGTTGAATAAGGTTGCAGCGGCCGCATCAGCCGAGCTGCTGCTAGAACAAAAGCAGTTGAGGGGATAAGTTATTGACCGGGCTGACAGCCTGAACGAGGCTGATTATAACTGCCTGGTCGTGCTCTGTGTGTGTGTGTGTGTGGTGTGGCTTCATAGTCAGTGAAGCAGGTGCAGAGGCCATTCCCTCTCTGTGTGTAGCTCTCTCTATCTCTCTCTCTCTTCCTACCCTGAGGGAAGCCCCGGGGCCCTCTGCCCTCCTGTCCTCAGCTGATTCCACGGGCTAATGTTTAACCCATACAGCCAAAACAGAAAGCATATTTCCATCATAAGAGCGCTTTGCCATCGCCATTAGCGACCGAGCTCATTTGCATGTTAATTGTGCATTTAGAGAGGTGGTGTTGACACTTCCCTTTGTCCATGCAGGGTCGCGGGAAGTGAGAGGATGGGGCTGCAGAATGACATCCATGTGCGTTATTGTTTGGAGCTGGTTGTATCATCTGTCATGATGGGGCTTTCAAACACAATGGGAAAAAATTAACTTGATTTAATAAGGTGTTATTCTTACCCTAAAATTCAAATAAAGCTCCCATCTGTAAAAGTCTTTTATGAAACAATAAGTCATTTCAGACCTAAAAAATCAAGTACATTTACTCAAGTACTGTAGTTATGTACAATTCTGAGGTACTTTACTTTAGTATTTTATGTTATACTATTATACTACATTTCAGAGGTACATTTTATACTTTTCATTCTGATACAAACTTATATTCCAGCACTGCCTCACAGTTTAGAAAGACAGATGGAACTACCTCCTTGATCAACTGCAGCATTATAATGCAGCTGACACATTGCATGCATCAATAATAATAATAATAATCATCATACACTTATATGAATTGGTCAGTTGACAATATTTATCAACAACACTTCATAAAAATGAATTTAATGAATAGCTTCTTATTTGTGAGTATTTGGTGCTTTCTGAATTGTATAGAATTGTAAATTGTACTTTCTTGTCGAACAAAACAAGAAACACCTCACCTTCGGTCAATTTCATGTATTTTGTGGAAATTGTTGCTTTTTTGCACACTAAAAAAAATTAACAAACTAATTGAAAAATACAGAAGGGCCGGAAAAAAAAATGTAATGAGTTGCATCCCTAAATATCATATTTCTAACAATATATTATCATTAAAACTTTTACTTTTGATACTGTGTCTAATTTGCTTATAATACTTTTTTGAATACAGGACTTTTACTTGTAATAAAGTAAATTAACTTTTACTGGTAAAACATCTGAGTTCTTCCTCCAGTAAATTACCACGTGAGCACGATCACTGTCAATATTATCAATTATTGGCCTGTAAAATGAAGAAAATACAACACACAGACAACCTTCCTGACAAAACGGACATGCTGTGTTTACACAGCAGGCAAAATATGCACACGAAGACGAACTAGTGCGCACACAAATACACACACTCGCACTTTCATTTGTCTACACACACACACACACACACACACACACAAGCCAGTTTTGGTGTGAAATTTGGTGTAATAACCACAGATTCAGCCAGACAGAAAGTGCCTTTGTGTGTGTGTGTGTGTGTGTGTGTGTGTGTGGTAATATCCTCCTACAGTGACTGACAGATGGCGTTCAGTGTTTGGCCGTAAATGTGCTCTCTGAGTGTTTGTCTGTGTGCCAGTCGCCTGTAGTTTGGAGACTCCCCGTGAGAGTCTAACTGTCCTGACACTGCTCAAAACCAACTGTCCTTGATTGTCGACCATGGATGAACCAGCAACGTGTGTGTGTGTGTGTGTATATGTATGTGTGGGTCTGTGTGTGTGTGTGGTGGCCTTCTGGAAAAAGCAGAGCAGGCCAGGGGAGCAGATG